ACAGAACTTCAAAAGCCTGATCAATTCTGCAGTTTGGTTAGCTGCAAATCACACTCTGAGAAGTCTTTTGAACTTGAAGGTAAGCATTGGTGTTTCAGTGGTAGAATTCTAGCTTGCCATGTTGGAGACCTGGGTTTGATTCCCAGCCAATGCACAAGCAAATTTTGAACATTCAGCCTTCTCGCAAAGAAATTGACATGCTTTATCAATTCTGCCCAAACTAGGGTGTTGGACAAACTCCATGCTGCTGAAATATACAAGAGATGCTACTTTACAATTTTAAACCACATGGCTGAATCAGCACAATACTTACCTGAAAAGCTCACTCTGCGTTGTCATTGATTGTTTGAGATAAGAGTTTGATTCTTCAAGAGATGCTACTGTACAATTTTAAACCAAATAGCTGAAGCGGCACAATACTTACCTGAAAAGCACACTCTGCAAAGTCATTGATTCTTTAAGATAAGGAAGGATTGATGGTTTAGTGGTAGAATTCTCAAATGCCATGTACCAGGGCTTGCACAATGCACAACTGAGTTCTGAATGTTAATCCTTCAATCACAGAACTTCAAAAGCCTGATCAATTCTGCAGATTGGTTAGCTGCAAATCACACTCTGAGAAATCGTTTGAACTTGAAGGTAAGCATTGGTGGTTCAGTGGTAGAATTCTAGCTTGCCATGTTGGAGGCCTGGGTTCGATTCCCAGCCAATGCACAAGCGAATTTTGAACATTGAGCCTTCTCGCAAAGAAATTGACATGCTTTATCAATTCTGCCCAAACTAGGGTTTTGGACAAACTCCATGCTGCTGAAATATACAAGAGATGCTACTTTACAATTTTAAACCACATGGCTGAATCAGCACAATACTTACCTGAAAAGCTCACTCTGCGCTTCTTGGATTGTTTGAGATAAGAGTTTGATTCTTCAAGAGATGCAACTGTACAATTTTAAACCAAATAGCTGTTGCGGCACAATACTTACCTGAAAAGCTCACTCTGCGTTGTCATTAATTGTTTGAGATAAGAGTTTGATTCTTCAAGAGATACTACTGTACAATTTTAAACCAAATAGCTGAAGCGGCACAATACTTACCTGAAAAGCACACTCTGCAAAGTCATTGATTCTTTAAGATAAGGAAGGATTGATGGTTTAGTGGTAGAATTCTCAAATGCCATGTACCAGGCCTTGCACAATGCACAACTGAGTTCTGAATATTAATCCTTCACTCACAGAACTTCAAAAGCCTGATCAATTCTGCAGTTTGGTTAGCTGCAAATCACACTCTGAGAAGTCGTTTGAGCTTGAAGGTAAGCATTGGTGGTTCAGTGGTAGAATTCTATCTTGCCATGTTGGAGGCCTGGGTTCGATTCCCAGCCAATGCACAAGTGAATTTTGAATATTTAGTCTTCACTCACAGAACTTCATTAAACTTATCAATTCTGCAGTATGGTTGCTGCAAATCACACTCTGTGAAGTCCTTTGAACTTAAAGACAAGCATTGGTGGTTCAGTGGTAGAATTCTAGCTTGCCATGTTGGAGACCTGGGTTCGATTCCCAGCCAATGCACAAGCGAATTTTGAACATTCAGCCTTCTGGCAAAGAAATTGAAATGCTTTATCAATTCTGCCCAAACTAGGGTGGTGGACAAACTCCATGCTGCTGAAA